GGGGGGCCCAAGCCCCTTCCCCCCCCCCCCCATCCTTCCGACACAGGTTGCAAACTACTTGCAGGTAAAACGCAAGGAATGCAGGAGATTTCTTCAAATTGTCTTCATGTGGGAGGGAGATGATTAACCCATTAAGTTGCACTGCACCCCAATGTGCCGAATCTAATTGTCGTAGATACGGGGAAATATTGGAAACTGATTTAGCGTCAATCTGAATTGTACCATACCAAATTGCAAGGACACTATATATTGGACATATTTACAAAATGCTAATATATGATAATCATATTATAATGTAAAAAATAATTATGCATTAGGTTCGGCGCATGAAAAGCGTGGCGTCTAAATCAATGTTGAACCTGTGTCACATATGTGACTTGTTTTGTCGTATCCTCAAGTTATGTCAAACTTAATCAAAACCTGCCAAACATAATTGATTTAGACGTCACTCCAGTGTCGCACTTACAGACCTACCAAGTCTCCCGCATTTGGCAGGAGACTCCCGCATTTTGGAGTCATTATTCTTGAATCATTGGCTATTACAACTGTTACAATAGATCGCTGACCAATGTTGAATTAAGCTAGTAACCATCCTCTGAACATCTCACCCATGGGTGTCAATTTTGAGGTCTTAGAAACACCATTTTCTGCACTTTATATTGGGTAGTTAAAACCAGCCAAATGTTTGTAATAATTATAATGTCAAATTTGAAAACTCCCCTAAAAATTGCTTGAAACTATACAAAATTCCTGTTTTAAGGTAAAATCCTTAAATGTCCTAGCGCTACCCTTCTCAAATAAGCTCCCTGTCTCTAACAAGGCTCTCCTTTTCTAGATGAAGACAATTTAGTAACTAAAGCCACCTTAACAAACATACCTGAAAATGTTATTCCAGGACTGCAAATGTGATTCCTGCTTGGAAGACCTAAAATAGGGGCATGTCGTTTGTCGTTATCACTGCCCCCATTAAGTTTCCCTCTAAATCTCTGTCCGTGAAAATCTTTATTGTTCACTTTGAAAGGAGATGCCCCCAAAATTAAAAATAATTCACCCTTGTCATTTTAGGCTAGGAGTAAAGGTCAAACTTTAGAAGGTGCAAATGATCCACTCACAGCAGGTGACATGGAATCCCATAAGGCCATAGTACATGGATTTCACCATCTATTTCCATCAGTAACTGTGGTATCTGAAGAACATGACCACAGTGATACACAAAACCAACCTGTTGATATTGACATGTTGGACATTACGAAAATTGGTGATGATCTGCATAACAAGGAGGATGAACAGGTCTCAGTAGATGATATTTTAGTCTGGGTTGATCCACTGGATGCAACACAAGAATACACTGAAAATTTAATAAAATATGTTACAACAATGGTCTGCATTGTTGTCAAAGGTATGCCATATGGCACAATTTTCATTAATTACCTTTGAATTAAATAATATTTAGCTACTGTAATGGCAAGTATGACTCACAATCTACTCTGCCGCAATATATCTTCACCAGCTAACATGCACTTGGGGAAATCATGAAAAATGAGAGAAATAAATCTTGGGGCATTCTTAGAATTTGCACCAAGATCATTTACACCAAACTGCAATTTAAATAAATTTGTTGAATTATTTAGTTCTTACAGTCCTCTTTCTTGTACGTGGTAAATAATATCACATTACAAAATATTGTCACAACAACATAAAATCACATTACTCAGCATGTGATCGACATTGTGCCTTTAACCACACCCCATCTGGATGGCTATGTCTTTTGTTTAGTCATTAGGGAGTTCCACTATTAATTCCCTTTTTCTCGGCCCATAACAATCATTACCACTTTATTGAATATTATTGTTTGCAACTGAAAGTTGTATAGTCACCGCAAGAAAGTGGTTTACTCTCGTATAAAACAAATGCCCATGTTTGTCATGGGCATTTGACAAGTTTTAGTCTTATCAAGCAATCATTTTAGCCTGATGGGGCCAGTTGTTCAAAGCTGTATTAGCTCTAACCCTGGGTTAAATTTTAACCTGCTGTTTTGGCTGCGTATTTCTGCACGTGTGTTTATTTCAAAACGTCCAGAAAATAAAACTTCCGTTGATTTCTAGAAAAGTATTTCCACGTTTATAAACAAGTTGTTGGGGAAATTTTATTAACCCAGGATTAAGCTAACTGGCTTTTGAACAACCGACCCATTGTGCTTTGGGACGTCGCTACCGGGGGGAGGTGTAACACCCCAATAATTCAAACGTTGGTCAAAATAGAACTGTTATTTGCTCAAAGTTGGTCAAAATGGAACTGATATTTGCTTAAAATTTAAGGTCAAAGTCGGTAAATTGTGGTGAAAAATTGGCAAGCCTTGCTTATTTTGGTCGAAAATTTTTTAAATATGCTTATATTAGTCCGGAAAACATTTTTACGACTTGGTCAAAATTTTATTAAATGTTGGTCAAAACATGACGACCCCAATGTTGAGGCCTTAGCGACGTCCCTGTGCTTGGCTCAGCTAATTGAAGTATTCAAATGCTCGTTGTCTTCCAGGTGTTCCAGTGGCTGGTGTTATTCATCAACCTTTTTTAAAGAAAACATTTTGGGCTTGGACTAATCATGGTCACTCGAAAGATCTTTCAAAACCAGTAGTAAATGAAGCTTCATTAAGAAGGCCAAGAATTATTGTATCAAGATCTCATGCTGGCTCTGTGAACGTGACAGCTAAGTCCGCTTTTGGTGAAGATGTCACAATTATCCCAGCTGGTGGTGCTGGATTTAAAGTTTTATCTTTATTCAATGACATTGCTGATGCTTATGTTCACAAAACATTGATTAAGAGATGGGATATTTGTGCAGGAGACGCCATACTTCGCTCGTTTGGAGGTAAAATGACCACACTTCATGGTACTGAAATAACGTATGGTGAACAGTTTGTTGTGAAGAATAGCGGTGGTCTTCTAGCAACTTTGAATAATCATGAACATTTTCTTCACAAGCTCTCAGCATTAGCAACATCAAGTCCAGTTAAGAAAACTTGAATACTACATGGACAACATCATTTTTTTGCGATTTCTCCGTTCCATTTGCTTGCCTGTCATGATAGTAGAAATGGATGAACGAAAAGTAGAGAAAGCTTAAGAATACTGCAGGAACCGAGGAACAACATTTTACTTTACGGTTCTTTGTGTTCAACCACTTGCTTACCTATCATACAGTCTAGAAATGGGTAGGAAGTCATTTTTGTTAAAGTATGCAAATGGTAGTTGAACTGGTAAAATATATTAAGTAAGGCGTTGCTTTATACGACTCCCGAAATGATGATGCAACATGATGTCCTTGCATAAGATTAATAAGTCTGGTGCAACGGCAAGGTGTGTTTAAACGTTATGGTATCAAAGTGTCTTTGATCCGACGTTGACGAGAAAATTTTTGAAAACTTCGAAGTGGTTACACTGTCACACACATCGTCTTCGATCGATCTTCGATCGATCTTCGATATATCATTTGGAAATTTCGATAGTAGCTATCCAAATTTTAATGCACATAAAAGTAAGTGTATAATGCAAATTTGCTCCTAAACCTCTTATACGATTCGTATTTGCGTTTAATACTATTTATTATTATATGGCTTTTTAAAATTCTCTATTCTGATTGGTTGACAAGCGGTCCGTAAAAACCCATATCCGGACCGTGGTCCGTATTTTCCGTATCTGGACCGGTGTCCCGGATGTCGTTTATCTGGCGGGAAATTTTTGCTTTGCAAACAGAAAAAAATTTTGCTTTTTAAATTTCCAATTGTGCTTTACAGATAAAAATTTCAAACAGCCGAATTGTTTTTGATTGAGCATGCATGCCTACCGTATATTGTTACCCAGTGAAACTGACGATAGCCGATTTAATTTGCACGAAAACCATACGCTCACAGACTCAGTTTAGCCATATAATAAACCGATTATTGACCTCACTTGTTCAGTCTGTACTGTGAAATATCAGACCTCTGTTTTTTGCATGGACCTCGCTCCTTCGTCGCTCGGTCCATACTAAAAAACCTCGGTCTGATATTTCACA